GGGCCGACTCAACGGCAAATAACAACAACAACAATCTTTGGGGAAGTATACTGTCACTTTTTTTTCAGCTGCTAGGTTCTAACCAACCACCTTCCAGTTAGCAGCTGAATGTATATCCACAGTGCCAGCAAGGCTTCTTTCCTATTTAATGACTTTTAAAAATAAAGAGATGAAAACTAAACACAAACTTTTCTTTATGTCATTGTTACTGCCATTAGTTGTTAAGCATGTTGCAATTTTTGTTAAAGTTTGTCTGAATGGGACATTTGTTTCTCAAAATCTGCACCTATTTCCATAGTGTAGGAATATTTTTCCTAGCCTATCATGCCTTTTTGTGCGTGCTTTTTAGTACTTTATTTTAAACAATAGAATAGAATGAACATTACCAAGGAGTTGATTGGTTGCTGTTATTTTGCCTGAAAATATTTTTATGAAGATTTGAGATATGCACGCAATATAAAGTTTTTACGGACTGTTGCATTTTTAATTACCGTTCCATTGAGATAGAACGTCCCTTTTAATTTGCTGCAAGATATTTGTATTGAAAATTTTGTCAGCCCTTTAGGGAGATATTATTTTAAAGTTAATCCCTTTCAGTATATGGGTCTCTGGAGTAGAATAAATATTACAGTATTAAGTACTGGTAGGAAGCTGAAAACAATCTCTGTGATTCTTTCTTGATAAATACAGTTAGTGAAAAAAATATCACAATGAGAAGTGTTATATGTAAAAGAGGCCCCTTTGTTGCTTATTAAATAAATGGCATGTCATAACCACTGGCTTTGAAGTATTGATGAGTTCTTTCTTGCATTCTCTTTCTGGAGTTTGAAAGACTCTTAGTTTGGAGTCTCATACCCTTTTGCTCAATAAGAGACTTCAGTTTTGATTCTAGATACTTCTATATCTTACTGTGTTTCATCCAAATATCTAGTGGTTATATTTTCTTTACAAGTGCCCAGGTAAACCAGAACTATTAAATGAGCTAGGGCAGATTGACCTGAATCTTTGATAGCAGTAGGAATATATTTAAAGTGCTGGGTAGTCATTGGCATTGTAGCTGCAGAGATGTTTTAGTGAGTCATGTAAATATCTATGGAGGACCTCTGCTAATCTCTGTACTTAACAGACATCTACCCACTTTAATCACAATAACAATTTAAATTTTCTAGGAGCCTTGGTGGTGCAACAGTTAACCACTTTGGCTGCTAACTGAAACATTGGTGGTTGGAAACCACTCAGTGGGTCCACAGGACAAAGATGGGGCAATCTCCTCTCCTAAAGATTGTTGTTGTTGTTGTTATGTGTCATCGAGTTGGCCCCGACTCCTAGCGACCCCTCCTTGGGTTTCCGAGGCAGTTATCACTACGGAAGTAGGATTGCCCAACCTTGCTTCTCCTAAAGATTATAGACTAGAAAATCCTATGGGACACTTCAGCTCTGTCACATGAGGTCATTATGAGTTTTAATTGATTCAACAACACCTAATAACAGGAAGAACCATAGTTGTACCACCCATCTAGCAGTTTGTCATACTATGGTAGTTTGTGTTTTGCTGTAATGCTGGAAGCTATATTACCAGTAATTCAAATACCAACAGGGTCACTTGTGATGTGCAGGTTTCAGTGGATCTTCCAGACTAAGGCAGACTAGGAAGGAGAACCTGGCAATCTACTTCCAAAAATGAGGCAATGAAAACACTGTGATCACAATAGAATGTTATCTGACACAGTGCTGGAAGATGACCCTCCTAGGTTGGAAGGTACTCAAAATACACAGTGGCCCCAACAATGGACTCAGACATACCAATGGTTGTGAAGATGCTGCAGGGCTGGGCAGTGTTTCATTCTGTTGTGCATAGGATTGCATGAGTCAGAGCCAACTCAACTGCAACTAACAACAACAACAAAAGTTGCCCTGGTGCATCCATTCAGAGGCTGTACTCTTGCACTTCAGCATTAGTATATATTGACTTCAAATTCGTTCTGCTCAAATCTATTTGTTTCACACTAATCATGAACTGTGAGAGTCTCTTACTTAAAGGGAGTTATTACGTTGCTAAAATTTTAATAAGTGTGGGAATAGAAAAAGTGATATAAACTTCTTTGAGTGTATGATACGTTCCTTTGGGAAAAACAGAAAATAATTGATTTTTCCTCATATAATTGAATTGAAATGCTATGTCATGATATGGCAGAGAGATTACCATACAGAAGAACTTCCTTCTAGCATCCATCCTTTGGTAGTTATTATGTTATTGTTATGTTATTATTTGGTTGCCTTAAAAGAACTTCTCATGTAATGAAAGTTGAATGGACACTAGGAAACAAGTGGAGAATATTTAATTTTCCTAACAGTTCAAAAGACAATTGGTAAAAAATACCCATAACCATTTACAGAAGTCCCAGTAGACTTTCTCAAAGATCTTCAATATTCCCTTTGTAAAATTTTATTAAAGTAGAGATAACTATTCTAAACTATTGGCTGTTGCCTTCCTAAAATGCGCTATGAAGAACTTAAGTTAAATGGATGTAATTAAAGTACATGGCACTGAAACCTTTTCTTGTAGCTTTTATGTAACAAGTGTTAGAAACTGGAGAGCACTTACTAATTGAGATTACTTTTTTAAAATGTTTTATAGTGTCCTGATTCAGCATGTAAGCAAGATTTATTAGCTTACCTTCAACGGATTGCCTTGTATTGCCACCAGCTGAATATCTGCAGCAAAGTGAAAGCAGAAGTGCAGAATCTGGGAGGAGAGCTCATAGTATCAGGGGTAAGCTGGGACTTGGCCTTCACAATTTAAAGTTCCCACTGTTGTATTTCCAAGGCAAGCATTCTTGGCAACAGTGCTGCTAAAAACACCAAACTACAGTGACTCATAGGGAGGGTTTTTTTTTTTTTTTTTTTTAATAAACATTATCTCCATTATTCTAGACTTTACAATAACTCACAAAGAGCAATCTCATTTTCCAATTACCCCATGTTTATGCTACCCTTGTAAAATCTCCATTCTTCACAAAAAAACTAATTTCATAGTCTAGAAACTCATTGCCAAGCTGACTATTATAATTATTTGGGGCTTTTGTATATTTACTCATTGTTACTTCCCTTTGTTAGACCTAGTAATTTTCATTCTCTGTTCAGGAGCCAGCCTCTCTATGTGTGGATTGTGTTCACATATTAGAGATGACGACAACAATAGGAATTCGTTCATTCAGGTTCCAATGCATACTAGGTTATTAGTAATTCTTGAAAGCCAGAAGATGTTGAATTTTATACAGGTTGATGTGCTGTTGCCAAAAACTAACATAGTTGTCAAACACTAACACCTCTGTATCCTTTGCTCAATCACTTTAATGTTGCTTTTCTCATGAAAATGTAATTACTTGGTCCATTTTCATCAAATGCATAGATATGGGAAGTTCAACAAATATTGATAAGAATCACAATTTCTTGGCAAGATTTCCAAATTTATGTGTTGAGGTTCTTCACCTTGGCTTTTTTTCCTTCCTTGGTTCCTTTCTCTCAACACAAGATGCCCCTTTGTTGTAAATTGTTTGCAAGTCCAGAGATGTGGCTCTGACCCTTTTTAGTTCTTTTCCCAGTCAACAATGATGTTGTCATATTAAATGTGACATTACAAAGAGCATAAGTTATCAGCATGGTGAATGCCTTGTAAAATCATACTGGTCATGGACCTCAATTCTTCCTGAAGCCATTTTTGAAAATTCAGCAGTTTGACCAGTACCTATCTATCTATGTATCTATCTATATGGAAACATTATTCTTGAACCCACCTGCTTCATTTCCTATATAGTTTGCCTAGCATTGTCTGTTGTTGTGAACTGGGATTTCTTTGCTTGGCTTTGACTGAGAACTGTACATATCCTCTTTTTATAAAAAAAAAAAAAAATATTTTTT